ACATCCCGTTCCATCATTGTCAAGTGTGTATGTGTGTGTGTGTGTGTGTGTGTGTGTGTGTGTGTCCGTAGCCACTCTGGCTCAAGGCTCAAGGCTCTCTGGCTCGAGGTTGGCTGGCGCGGCATGGGGGCCGGAGTCTCCCCCCTGACTTCGGCCGGCCTGGGGGGTGCTGGGAGGGGCCTCTCCTGGTCCCATGTCCCCGTCTCTTGGCGGGCCGCGGACGGCGCTGAGCCGCGCTCAGCGCTTAGCGGCGGCCGCGCGCTCGCCGCCGCCCAGGCTGCCGCTGGCGGCGGCCCCCATGGCTTGGCTGCGGGGTTGCCTGGCTGGCCGCTGGCGGGCGCCGCTCACGTGGCGGCCGGCTCGGCCCGCGCCGCGGCCTCGCGGCTCGCGGCCCCTCGCCCCCTGCGGCGGCCGCTCGGGCGGCTGCCGCGGCCGGCGCGGGCCAGGCCGTTGGCGCTCCTGTGGCGGCCGCCGCCGCCGTCTCGCCCGCCGCTGCGGCCGCTCGCGCGGCGGCCGACGCCGCTCGCGCGGCAGCTGCCCGCTCGGCTACCGGCGCCGCTGGCGCGGTGGCCGCGGCTGTTGCCCTCTCCGCGGCAGCTGGCACGGCGGTTGCCGCGGCCGCCGCGGCGGCTGCGGCGCGGCTGCTGCTGCGGTGGCCGCTGCTGCGGCTGGCGCCTTTGCCGCGGTCCCCACGGCCGCCGCCGCGGCGGATGACTTCGGCCTCCACGCGCTGGCGCCCAACGACGCCGAGAACACGCGGAAGGAGCTGGCGGCTGAAATCGCCAACAAGTCGTCTGGCCATGATGGCGACCGTTGGCGTGTTCTTCCACGACGTCACGGCCGGCCCTGCTTGGGACGACTGGGCGTGCTGCACGGGCTCCCCGCCGCGCGCGCTCGGGAGCAAGCTGGGCGTGCGGGGCCCCGTCGGCTGGGATCTCGCTGGCCTCGCCGCGGATGGTGGCGCGGAGAGCTTCGACAGTCGGCGCAAGACCGAGCTGGGTCGCGGCCGCGCGGCCGTAGTGGCGACGATAAGCTACCTCACTGCAGACATCACCGGCAGGCAGGACCCCGCGTGTTTCTGGGACCCCGATGGGCTCATGGCGGATGGTAGCGCGGAGGACCTCGCCAGGAGGCGCCTGGCGGAGCTTCGGCTCGGCCGAGTAGGGTACCTGTCGCCGCCCGCCTGCCGGAAGATCATGGACAATCCGAACGACCTCGATGCGATCTCCCAGGTGCTGACGTCCAGCGGCGCCAGGAACAAACACACATACCAAATTGACGGATGACATCGCCAATTGTCTTCTGGTCGCGGACATCCCGTGCGGTTTCGAGGCGACCTCCCAGGCCTCCGCGGCGAGCTGCGCGCAGATCGTGGCCCTCGGCGCGTTCTGCGAGTTGTCCTGGTCCCAACCCGCCGATACCACTGCTGCCACATACGACGTCGGCTTCCAGGTGCCGACGCCCAGTGATTCCGATGAGGTTCAGGAGAAGAATTCGGCTCCGGAGATCGCCAACGGTTGCCTGGCCACGATGGCGATCATCGAGGTGACGCTCCAGGACGACTGGGCGTTCTACACAGGCTCTCCACCGCACCCGGTCGAGAGCGAGCTGGGCGTGCAGGGCCCGGCGTACTCCTGCGACAGTATGGGGCTCACGGCGGACGGTGGCACTGAGGACCTCGCCAGGCAGAGCTCACACCTGGCCGAGTGATCATGTTGACGACGATGGGGCACATTTTGCCCGACATCACCGGCATGCTGCCCGTCTACTTTTTGCCTCCTGCCTGCCTGACGCCTGACCCTCGTGGCCCGGCAACCGTTTCCGCAGCGGAATTCGTCTTCTGAACATCATCGGTGCCACTGGGCGTCGACACCTGGAAACCGACGCCTCCTTCGGCAGCATTGGCATCGGCGGGTTGGGTCCGGAACGGCTCGCAGAAAGTACCGAAGGCCACGATCTGCACGCAGCTCGCCGCGGAGGCCTGGGAGATGGCCTCGAGCCCGGATGTGCCCCAGGCCGCGGGGAGGGCGCCGGCAAGTTCCGACGCTACACTTATCTGGCGCCCCCCCCATTCTGGTCTGAACCCCGTTTACACGCGCGGTGGTGCGAAGGGCGACGTGGACACCCCTGGCGCACTCAGTGGCGCACATCGTGACGGAGATGGGCGGAGACCTACTTGCGTGGCGGACTTTGGCATTTCTTCCCAAGGGGGTCCTCTCCACGCCGCTGCGCCCCTTGCCGAGAGCTCTTCTGGGGCGCCCGACTCGTCCCGGCCTGCGAAGGCCTCGCTGAGCTGCCCCCCGGTCGGAAGGAAAAATGTACAGAGGAGGGCTGGGGGCCCTGGTGACGGGAAGCAGAGCAGGTTCGTGGCGAAAACCGCCAACAACACCACGGCCACGAGCCCCCTTGGCGGAGGAGACGAGGAGCAGGGGTTGATTGCTGGGGCCGCCAGCGACCCCCCAGCCACGGCTGCCTGCGTCGACGCGAGGCAGAGTTGCCCCCGCGGCGGACAAACGAACCCTGTGCCAGGATCATCCCGAAAGTGCGCCGTCCCAGACCTGGCGGTCTACCGGGCCCCCTCCTGCCAGTGCCCCGCTGGGCCCAGGAAGGGCGCGCGCCCCTGCCGTCCGGCTCTTGTTTGACGCCTCGGCCGGCGTGTGCGGCGGCACGAGGGTTGCTGGCGCAGAGAGAGGGTTTTTTCGACGCCGCGGAAGGATTGTAGGACGGAAGGGCACCGCCGCGGAAACCACAAGCGTCCCTCGTCGCCACGGCTGGAAATCGGCACTCCAGTGCGCCGTCCCGCGCAGGTGGGTCGCGCGCCGCTGCCCAGACGGGGCGGCGCCTGGCGCACCACACTGCGCCCTGCTAAGGCTGCGCCGACCCGGCCGCAGGGCGGCGCCGAAGGGCATCGCGACTGGCGTCCCCCCTCTTCCGCGGTCGCTTCGCCTCGCCCCCCCGTCCAAGCTGCGACGAACGCCGGCAGCTCGAGCATCGAGGATTACCGCGGCGCCCCCCGGAGCGGGGAGCGTGCCGCCCCTGTCTCAAGTGTCTTCTGCCAGGACGTCCAAAATTCCCACGGAGCCCTGGCTGCCACAATCAAGGGCGCACACGGAGTTGGCGGCGAGCCCAGTGCGGCCTGGACCAGGCGTTGTCCGTGCGGTGGGGGCATCAGGGGCCCTGGCCGACGCGACGCCGCCTTCCCTCGCAGCTTCCCCCACCTCCTGGCTTCGTCGCCGCCCTGATTTTCTTGCGGCTGCGCCGTGGGGCCGCGGCAGACCCTCCGTGCGCCAGGGCGCTTCTGCTACGGAGTGCGCCCTTGGCTGCAGGGGGGGCTCCTTAACCGTCATTGCACCTATTCGGTGCCTCCCTTTTGCTTGGTTTTCAGGCCAGCACCCGGTCCCCTCGGCAGTTCTGCCAGTGGGCCTGCTCGCTTGCTGTTCCCATGCGGTACCTCGCCTTGGATGCCCTGGCCGCTCCCCCTTCCGCGCCTGGCCTGTGGGCCGCTCCCCCTTCCGCACCAGTGGGCCGCCCTCCCTTCCGCTGGCGGGCCGCTCCCCCTTCAGGTGGGCCGCCCCCTTTTGCGCTGGCGCGCAGGGCACAGGCGGGCCCCTCCGCCAGGCGCCTCCTTCAGCGCATCGCGCCGCTCCATTCCGCACTGGTTGGCCGCTCCCCCTGCGCCGGTGGGCCGCCCTTTCCGCGCAGGCGTTCCTGGCCTGTACCTTGGCCCCCCCCCTTCCGCGCCGCTGGACTGCTGGTCTCGGCGCTCTCCATCCTGGCCGTCGTCCGGGCGGCCCCGGCTGCCTCTCGCCCCGGCCTGCTTGGTTTTCAGGCCAGTCTCTTGGCCATCCACCGATCTACTGATGGGTGGGTCGCTGCCTCGCCGCCGCGGCGCCTTGCACTGCCCTCCCCCCCCGCGCCTCGTGGGCCTTCTGGTCTCAGCGCCCGCCCGCTCGCCGCTGGTGCTCCCAGCGCCACGCCGCTCCCTTGTTGGCGTGGTTCTTCGGCCACCGTCCCTCGCCTGCGTGCCGGCCTGCGCGTGCCGCGCTCGGTGCAGCGCACTCGTGTCTACCGGTGCTCCGCTCTTCTCGCTTCCCGCCGCGCCTCGTAGACGTCTTGGTCTCGGCGCCTCGCCTCTTCACCGGTTTCCGCTCGCCCGCCCACCTGCTGGCACTCCCAGCTCCACGCCGCTCCCCTTGTTGGCGTGGCTCCGCCTCTGCGTCCTCTGTCCATCGCCTTCAGGCCGCCATACTTGCCGCCCTAGTGCAGCGCTTTCGCGGCAGCCTGCGCTCCGCCTCCGCGCCTCCCGCTGCGCCTCGCAGGCCCCTTGGTCTCGGCGTTTCTGCCCACTTTTGGGTCCGCCTGCCCAGCTGGCTGACCCATTGGTGTGGCTACCGCATCGCATATGCTGCTCCCCCATCTGGCTTTGCCCGGCCGCCGCTGGGCTGCCCTCCCCCCCCCCAGCTGCTGCCCGGCGCCGCGGCTGGTTCCCCCACTCGGCGCTCCTCCCGCCGCAGCTGGTGACTTGCCTGGGCGGGCCCGGCTTCCCCTCTTCCCGTCGCGCCGGGGTCTCCTCCTCTTCCCACGTGCTTCGCGGACTGAATTGCATCCAGTGCGCCCCCCTGATGCCCAATCGCCGGAGCAGTCACCCTCTGCCCAGCCGCCGACGCAAATCAAGTGTGTGTGTGTGTGTGTGTGTGGTGTGTGTGTGTGTGTGTGTGTGTATGTGTGTGTGTGTGTGTGCGTGCGTGCGTGCGTGCGTGCGTGCGTGCATGCGTGCGTGCGTGCGTGCGTGCGTGCGTGCGTGCGTGTGTGTGTGTGTGTGTGTGTGTGTGTGTGTGTGTGTGTGCGTGTGTGTGTGTGTGTGCGTGTGTGTGTGCGTGTGTGTGTGCGTGTGTGTGTGTGTGTGTGTGTGTGTGTGTGTGTGTGTGTGATTGTCTCTGTGTTTGTGTGATTGTGTGTTTGTTTTTTTTTGTGTGTGTGTGTGTGTGTGTGTGTGTGTGTGTTTGTTTGTTTGTTTGTTTGTTTGTTTGTTTGTTTGTTTGTGTGTGTGTTTACCCCGTTCAGCTCCACCGACAGCACGCAGCCTGCGCGGGCCCTCGTTGCACCGCCCGCGCCGTCTGGAAGGGCCTCGGTTGGCGAGCACGCTTTGGCGCCGCCGCGCGCTCTGGGGGCACATCGATCATCAAAGGGCTGGCGAGGCCACTGCCGCAACTGCTGCAAGTGTGCCCTGGCTTCAGCCCCCGGCCACGGTCGTTCTGGAGCCCCCCCCCCTCGAGGACCCGTGCCCCTTCGGCGCGGGGCTCGGCATCTCCCCGGCGCGGCCTCGAGCGAATCGATATGTTCCGTCGAAGCGGTCGAGCGGGGCCTCGTTGGCGGGGCAGTAGTGGCCTTCTCAGATCTGGGCGGCGCAGACAAAATCGCGTCGGCTGCCTTTTGGGTCGCTTCTGGCCCCCTGGAGCCCTAGGTGGAAAATCATGTTTGTCATGTTTGTCTTGTTTGTCGTCATGCTGTTTGTTCCGTCCTGACTCTTTCCGCCACGACTTTTTTTGCGCAATGGCGGGCGCGATGTCACCGTACCTTTTTGCATGCACATCGTCAGCAGTCAGGTTGGCTCGGAAGAGCACTGACGTGCCGCCATCTTCTGGCTTGGTTGTCCTGACTTGATCGGGGTGGAGGTCCCCAGGAGCCCGTGCCACGAGCAAACCTGCGACGGCGGAGGAAGGGGGGGCGGCGGAGGAGTGCGGCACCCGGCGCCGACTCCAGGAGCGCACGGCGCGCCTCGAAGGCAGCTTCGGAGCCTGGGGGCGGGGGCGAAAAGGGGGATCCGTCTAGGGGATCGGTACCCTCTCATCGCCGATCGGAGCTCGGGTGCCTCACAATGCCAGTTCGTCGTGCCGTCCTCCTCCTTCTCCTCCTCCTCCTCCTCCCCCTCCCCCTCCTCCTCCTCCTCTTCCTCCTCCTCCTCCTCCTCCCCCTCCTCCTCCTCTTCCTCCTTCACCCTGAGATCAGCGCTCGCAAACGGCCGCTCTCAGGCTACGGGACGGGCTGCGGCAGCGGCAGTATCTCCCCCGCGACGAAGGCGCAGGCTTTGGGGAATGGAAGCGCGAGGAGGCCCGGCACGCGATCTTTGGCGTCGCGGCCGCGCGCGCAGCGGCGCGGCAGAATCGGGCAGGCCGGCGTAACCACTCATAGGACGTGCGCGGGCTGGCCAGCTCACAGCGGCAGCAGGGCGTACGGGGTTCACCCATGGGGAGCCCTGGGCACAGGCACAGACACGCGGCGCGGCTGGCCTGGGCGATACCTGGATGCACGTGTGGCCAGACTTCCTTGCAGCGCCCGACCCTGCTGTGGCCGTGCCTGGGCCTCGGCACGTGTGTGTCCAGCGTGTGGCTTCCTGGCGTTCCTCACGTGAATCGGGCCGTATGTCTTTTCAGCGTCTTGGTGTCCGCTTCTTCCGCTCCTGGCCGCTCCCGCGTTTTTTTGTCCATGCACACAATGTCTTACATGGCATGAGTATTGTATTGCGCTGCCTTGCCTGACGGGTTGTGCCACCGATTCTCATCCTTTCTTCACGACCATCGGTCCGCTGTAAGACAAGTTCTTCCCCTGCGCAGCCGCGCGCTCCCGCGTGCGCGTGACAGCCCGAGCTCGGGGCGGGGGGGGGGAGGGAGGAGGGAGGAGCGAGGAGGGGGAGGAGGGAGGAGGGGGAGTATTGTCACGCTGTCAGTCAGGGCACGGACGGGTCTCCATCACCGATGGGGGGCGTTGCTTGGTGATTGGAGGCTCTAGCCTCGTGCCCCCAAAGGGGTAGTGGGCAGACAGGCCGTGGAGGTACTTAGTGTGGAGCGCCGGTCGATGTCCGACCTCCGACCGACCCTGTTTCTCTGGCCACCCCCCCACCGCACCCCATGCCCTTGTTGATCCAATCGAGTTTGGCCCCTACAGACAGGGTGTCATCCCATTGTGGGGAGGCGAAAGTGCTGGTACAGTGGTCCGCTGAAGTAGATGGGATGGAGGGGGACGGAAGGAGGGAGGGAGGGAGGGAGGGAGGGAAGGGAGGGAGGGAAGGGAGGGAGGAGGAGGAGGAGGAGGGCGCACGGGAGTGCCGATAGGGGGGTGGAAAGAGCGGTGCGCACCTCCAGTGGTGTGCACTTCTCTCTCCCATAGGTGGTCGGACAGGGAAGATAGGCATACACGTCAGTCGAATTACGGGTCAACCGGCATGAACATACACTTTTGGCGGTCCGCGCGGACCGTGGAAAGTTGATGTCTATGCCGCTTCGTGTTCCTCTGATCAGAGTGAGGGGACCGGGCGGTCTTACACCATCCTTGGGTGCGTGGGTGAAGCAGGATACCGTGGCCTGGGTTCTGCTTGTTTGTTGTTTGTTGCTTTTTGTTGTCGTCGTCCCCTCCGCGACCCACCCGCGGCCCAGCCCGCGACCCACCCCGCGACCCACCCGCGACCCACCCGCGTCCCGCGCGCGATCCACTCCGCGCCCGCCCCTCGACTCTCGTCCGCGCTTGCGATGTGCTGCGTGATCTCCTGGATTTTCCCCGATCTCGTTCCCTCGGGCCCGTACCGCAATCTGGGCACGGGGCCATGGAGGGGGAGGAGAAGGAGGAGTTGGAGGAGTTGGAGGAGGAGGAGGAGGAGGAGGAGGAGGAGGAGGAGGAGGAGGAGGAGGAGGAGGAGGAGGAGGCTGGAGGAGGAGGAGGAGGAGGAGGAGGAGGAGGAGGGAGGAGGAGGTCCATGTTTGCGATCGCCTGAGTATTCTAAGACGCAGGGGTGCTTCTACGAAGCCTTCCCCCCGCACACACATCTGGGACGAGCATGCCCCTTGCGCAAGCGGTCGGGACCTCTGGGGGCGCGCATGGAAAAACAACATACATCGCCGGGTGTCTGGGTTCCCCTCTCCCCACCGTGTGTGGGGGGGCTCAAGAGGGGCGTGAGGGCCAGGGGTGCGTGGACATCATGACAGAGGCCATGCCACCTCGCAGATTTCATGGCCTCTCCTTCTTGTTTCAAGGCGTTCTCTGGCCCCCCCCCCCTCGTCCGAGACCGTCACTCGGGCCATGGTGCGCCAGCACTCCTCTTCCTGGCTCGCCTCGTCGGCGCACCCAGCACGGGTGGTCGAAGCAATACAAGGCATACGTGTGAACTCTCGGAGGTCCGCGCGGATCTCTCGGATGCGCGCTGGACTCCCGTGGCGGCGCCTCGGGCGCCGTTTCTGACGCTCGGAGGGTGGGATCCAGCTCTGATCAGAGAAGCCGCTCGGACCTCCGAAGGCTTTCATTGTTTTCCCCACCCGCTTCTTCAGAAATGCGACCTCCCGATCCGCCTCGCACACCCTGCATACCGCAGCCGCTGGGCCCCAAGGGTCCCAGTACTCCCTGGGCATCGCGCCTGGCGCCTTCGACTGCATGCCGACTGCATGCCGCGGCCGCCAGGCCCCAGGGGGCCAGGTGCTCCCTGGGAATCCCGCCTCGCGCTCTCGGTGGGGACCGCTCGAAGCAAACTCATGCAATGTGCTTTCTTCCTCCAGGTGGCCAAGATCCTGGAGGGCATCCTCGGGCGCCTCACCAGCCACAAGACCGCGCTGCTCCGCGAGGCAGCCGGTCGCGGGCAGGCGAGCGGCCGCGGGAAAGCAAAAGGAAGGCTGCCGACCTCGCCGGATGTTCGCACGCGGGCTGCCCGCGCAAGGCCGCGCGCGCAGCGCCCTCTTCTCCGCAGCGGCGTGCCGCGCTGGCGGCCTGCGCGAGCCGCCGCGCGGGGCCGCGGCGCCCTCGCCGCGCAAGGCCCGCGCGCGAGCCGCCGCGCGATGCCGCCACGCTATGCGTGCGGCCCGCGCGCAGGCCGCCGCGCGTCAGGCCGCCGCGCGAGCGGCCGCGCCCCCTCCGCGCAGGTGACCGCCGAGGCCAAGGCCGAGCTGCGCGGTCTGCTGCGGCGCCTCCGCGCGGGCCGCGGGGGCAGAGCCGCCGCCGTGGCCGCCCTGGCCGCGGAGGTGGCGCGCGAGAGCCCCGACGCCGGCTGCCGCTACTTCGGCGCCTGCGGCGGGAGCGACGGGCCCATGGACGAGGCGCAGGGGAGGAAGAGGTGCCGACACCGCTGCCCCTGCCTCGCTCTCGCCTCGTCGGGGGGGCCTCCCAGGAGGCCCCCTCGCCACCACCGCCGGATCTGTCCCCAGAATGCGGGGCAGAGCGCACCCTGGGAGAGAGGCCCGGGGAGCAGCGGCATCGGTACCTTTTTGGTCCCCCCCAAAGGCGACGAAGGCGCAGGTGGCCGCCCTCGACGGCGCGGCGGCGTCGTCTGGCCTGTCTTTGGGTGCTTCGGGGGGTGCTTGTCGCCGCGGACGGGGCGCAGCTCGAGGAGCGGGGCCAGGGTGCTCCTCGGGAGGAGCCCCCCCGGAGCCGTGGGCGTGGACTCGTCCTGGCGATGCCTGCTGGCCACGGCAGGCTGCGTCGCGGCGACGCCGGCCGCGCGAAGGTCACGGAAGGTGCAGCTCGAGGGGGGCGCGGCGCAGAAGACTGCACGAGAGAGAAGAACCCCCTCCACACACACACGCATACGTACACGCACACGCACACGCTCACGCACACGCACAACACACGCACAACACACGCAACACACATGCAACACACACGCAACACACACGCAACACACACGCAACACATACGCAACACACACGCAACACACACACACACACGCAACACACACATACGCAACACACACGCAACACACACACACGCAACACACACACACACGCAACACACAACACACACGCAACACACACGCAACACACATGCAACGGACACGCACCACACACGCAAGACACACGCACCACACACGCAACATACACGCGCACCACACGCAACACACACGCAACACACACACACACGCGCAGCACACACACACGCAACACACACACACACACACACGCAACACACACATGCAGCACACACGCAACACACACACACGCAACACACACGCAGCACACACACATAACGCACATGCAGCACACACGCAATACACACGCAGCACACACGCAACACACGCGACACACGCAACTCACACGCAACACACACGCACACGCAACACGCACGCAACACACACAGACGCAACAGACACGCAACACACACGCAGCACACACGCAACACACACACAAACGCAACACACGCAACACACACACACACGCAGCACACACGCAACACACACGCAACACACGCAGCACACACGCAACGCACACGCAAGACATACGCAACACGCACGCAACACACACGCAGCACACACGCAACACACACGTAACGCACACGCAACACATACGCAACACACACGCAACACACACGCAACACACACACACGCAACACACACAACACACACGCACACACACACGCAACACACACGCAACGCACACACGCAACACATACGCACACACGCACACACACACGCAACACACACACACGCAACACACACGCAACACACACGCAGCACACACGCAACACACACACACACACGCAACACACACGCAACACACACGCAACAAACACGCACCACACACGCAACACACAGCACACACCACACACACAGCACACACAACACACACGACACACACGGCACACACACACACACATCACACAGCACACACCATACACAACACACAACACACACACACACCACACTCAACACACACAACACACACAACACACACAACACACACGACACTCAACACACACACAGCACACACCATACACACACCACACACAACACACAACACACAACACACACGCACACAACACACAACACAGACGCACACACGCACACACGCAACACACACACACGCAACACACACGCAACACACACACAGACGCAACACACACGCAACACACCCGCACCACACACAACACACACAGTACACACCACACACACAGAACACACACACAACACACACGACACACACACACACCACACACCATACACAACACACAACACACACGACACACACAACACACAACACAACACACACACACACCACACTCAACACACACAACACACAACACACAACACACACGACACACACACAACACACAACACACAACACAACACACACCCAACACATAACACACAACACACGACACACAACACACACAACACACAACACACAACACACCACACACCACACACAACACACAACATAACACACAACACACAACACAACCACACGCACCATGACGACTTTTTTTGTCGGAGCGCCTGTGGATGTAGCCGACGCGCGCCCAAGGCGAAATATATTACACATCTCAGGGCATTTGGCGCATGCATCGTTTATAGAGTCAAATGGCTGATTTTTTTCGTGTTGTAGAATCTGCGTTTTGTTTATATCAAATGCGCCGCTGCATGTGAGAGAAGACGCGGTTCGAGCAATGTTCCAGGGAAAATCGCGCGTGACGGTTTTTAATGCAATTTGTGGCGTTTGCGACAAGACAGTTTTTGCTTTTAGAAAAGCGGTTTTGCCCGCCGCTCGGCGGTTGCGTGCTTGTGCAGTTTGCCAGTGGGTTAACCCGGGGCACCAGCAGCTGACAGCGGGCGTCGGGCCGCAGGTCCAAGAGAAGTTCTGATTATACGATCGGGGACTTTGGGTAGCGTGTCGCTTCGACAGTTCTGGTCCAACACGCTTGGGTGCGACACGCTGTCCACTTTCCTGGCCCCAGGCGTCAACGTTTCGAGCATCGGATGAGTGGTACGGGGGTGGTCTACACATGGGGGATGAAGAAAGCAGCGCCTTGTGGCACACTTCAGGGACCCTCGAGGGGCCCTGTGCTGCTTTGCACCATTTTGAACATGGTCGGCGCGGGGACTGCGCCAGCGGTGCGCTGCGCGGTGAAACCTAAGCGCGCGAAGTTTCTGGTATTCTCAGGCTGGTGGAGCAACGTCAGACTCCGCGGGGTTGCGCGGCGACGCCCGGGCCGCGTGCGCGCGGCCGCCGCGCCCCGCCAAAAAGTGTATGTTCTTTCAGGGCTTCCTTCATCTAGTGCAGTGCAGCACTGGGCCCTTTTAAGGGCACTTTCATTCATGCAACTTTTGGCAGCCCGCCTGTGCTGCGCATCGGAAAATCTGAGCGGCAGGCCGCTGCGTGCGCCGCTCGTGGCGCAATTCACAGACCACGTTTGGAGTTGCGCCGCAAGCGTGGGAGAGCCGTCGTCTGCATCGGAACGCTCAGATCGAGCAACCCACCGTGTGTGAGGATGGCTTTCGCCTCCGACTGCCTCTTTTGGGGAACGTGCGTTCCCCCACTCCACCTGCGCCCCCCCGTTGCGCTTCCCCGGGAGAATTTCGGAGCCCACCGCCCCAGGGAGCGGAGCGACACGCTATCCGCTCGCCAGGGGCAGCGCGCCGCGGGGGCCGCCGCCGCGACGCGCGGAGCATGCGTTCCCGACCGTACAGCACGTGTCGCGGGGCCTGCCTGGCGACCTCCCGATCCGCACGGCGGCCGAGGCCGAGCTGGGTGAAGCTTTGTGGTCGCGCTCCCTCCTGCTCATGGCGCCAACATCGCGGAGCGGATTCCGTTTGGAAAATGATTGGATGGGCCTGGAGTGTCCTGGAGAATTTCCTTCCGGATTTCGGGGTGAATTTCGTGCGGATTTTCTGGGCTGGGAATGAAGACTAACAAAATCATGCGAAATTCTTTTCGTTTTTCACTCACCGTTTCGGGGTTGTGCATTGGCAGAAATCCGCGCAAAAATCCGCTGCAGCACGTCTGCAAGGTCGGTGCAGTGATCCTTCTATGTGGTGGGTCTGCCTCCTCCTCCTCTTCTTCCTCCTCCTCCTCCTCTTCCTCCTCCTCCTCCTCCTCCTCCTCCTCCTCCTCCTCCTCATCCCCCTTCCCCCTCCCTGGGGGTGGTCCTCAAGCTCGCCAGGATGGGCCCTCGGAGGGCTTCGGGAACGCTCGTGGGCGGCCAGAGCGCAGGTGGCCGCCCTGCTGAACGGCATCCTCGGCCGCCTCCAGCGGTGAGGCCCGTGCCCCGACGCCGGACGTGCGCGCGCGCGCGTTCACGCTTGCATTCTAAAACAGTAGATGACGGAGGTAATTCGAGGGCGCAGCGCGCGGCTCGCGCGCCTTCTAGTCCACGCGCCCATCCTCCGTGGGGTCTCCGTGCCGCTGCTGTGACTCGCTTGCAGACAGGAGGCCAGGGAGAGTGAGAGGGAGGGGGGGAACTGTCATCCCAGGCCCCCTGGGGTCATGGAAGCATCACGACGGATGGCTTATGGGGCGATTTTCTGCCCCTGGGGGCCCTCGCTGGGCCCCGGGACCGTCAACAAACGACCCAGGACGAAGAGCCGGTCCCAGGGAATGGGTCGAGACCTCTGGGGGGGGCCGACGGCATGGAAAAATCGTGACGTCGGGGGCTTGGGATGGAAGGCGAGAGCTTGGAGGGGGAAGGTGGGGCTCCTGAGGGCCCGTGCCTCTACCCTCACCGCTCCTGGGGCATGTATGGGGCACTGCGGGGGGGGGGGGCATTTTGAGGGCAGGTGGAGTGCACTCACTGCTTGTGCTTCCAGGGTCTACCGAAGAGGCTTGCGCCATTCCGCCGATCCCTAGAAGAGGAGATATGCGTACGGCTTCAGACTTCGTGCGTGCTGTTTGGCGTTTCCCGTCGTGCAGCCTGCGTGTATAGTTGCCGCTGATTCGTCTTGGTCGTCCTTCGCTTCTGTTGCGGGGCCTCTTATGGGGCCCCGTGAAGGTCTCAGGGCGGCTTCTTGGGAGCCTTTCGAGGGCTCCTGTGGGTTTCTGGGGGGCTTCTTGGGGGCCTCATGGGGGCATGTTGAAGGTCTTAGGAGCCATCTGGTAGGGGAGGGCTCCCCGGGCCCCTGCGAGCTCCTCCTTTTGGGCTTCTCTTGGGCCCCTCTCGAGTCCTCTTGAAGGTCTTCGTAGCTGTCTTGCCCTCTTGGGCCTTCTTCGAGCCCTCCAGGGCCCGGTCTGGGGGTGTCTCGTGGGTCGTAGGCGAGAGCACGATACATGAGGCCAGCCCTTTTGGAGATCCTCGCTTTAGGTCTTCTTGGGGCCTCGTGTGTCTTGGGCCCCCTTGAGGCCATCACGGGTGTCTTCGAGACCTCTCCCGCGCGTTGGACTCGTTCTTGAGCAACCTTCGGGGTCATTTTGGGCATCTTGCAGGGTCGGAATGGGATCAAGGGTTCTGATTGTCCAGGATCGCTGGGATGGGAGCCCAAGAACCAGACATCCAAGGTGACTTAGTGCTAGAGGCACTCGCATCTCACCGGAACGTGGAACGCTCCTGAGCTGGATTCTGTAGGCTCCGAACCAGACGATCTGGGCCAACCCTGTCTGATGTGCCCCCTGCTTCGGTGCTCGAGTTCGTGGTCTCGTCTGCGCTGCCGCAGAGCAGCCGCACACGCGATGGAACGCCCGAGGGCCCCTCCTGCCCCTCCCCTGCATCGACCTGCACTCAGCGCACCTTCGGCCGAAGAAGGAAGAGCGGCACAAGCATAAGCGTTCGGAGCTCCGCGCGGACGTCTCGTATCTGCGCTCCCCGGGCTGCTCCTCCGGCGCCGGCCCTGGCGCGCTCTGCGCGCCTGGGAGGGGGGCCCGGCGCCGATCCAAGCAGTCCGCCCGACCCTCCGAAAGCGTACGGTAGGTTCGCGTCCTGTCGACTGGCGGCGACCCCGCCGCCGGCGTTCAACGTTGAATGCCAGCGGCGGCCCAGAATCGGTCGATGCATGATGCTGAACGATCGGACGTCGGGGAAGCGGTCGATCGCTCGAGGTTGAACGATCCCCGCGGTGTCAGGAACCAACGCCAAAGTCGGCACGACACGAACCTGCCGTACAGGGTCCGGCTTGAATATGGAACATTTACCTTTCAAAAGGGGCCAGGTCGTTACTTTGGTTTGCATGCGTTCCGCCACCTCTTTGGCGGCGAGCCCCCCTGGTGCTCCTTCGGACTTCCTAGACTTGCTTGGACAAAAAGGGGGCTTCGTTCCTTACTTATCGTTCCTGAGGTCAGGCCTCCTCCAGAACAGGGGCCAGTCTTGGCCAACTTGCTGGAAAGCTGTCTCAGTTTCTTGAGTACGTTCGGCCTCCAGCGTTGACAGCAGAACCTGGCCCAGGTGAGTTTTAAGAGACTTCCGGGAAGCTGGCCCAGATTTCTTCGGTTACAAGTTTCTTGATCATGTTGTCGGCTCTATGTTTATGCGTTTTTGTGCTCCCATTCCGGCCGCAGCTGCCGCGCCGCGGCGGCCTGCGGCCGCCGGTGGCCGCCGGTGGGGCCACGGCGCGGCGGCACGCGGCGGCACGTGCAGGGGGCAGGGGCCCTCCCCTCCCTGCCTCCCCAGGCATCCGACGCCGTGGCCTCTGCGGTGCCCAGGGGGCCACATGCGAGCCCTACCCCTACCTTCCACGACTTCTGAGGGGGAGGGTGGGGGTAGGGTTCGCACGCGGCCCCCTAGCACCGCAGGTCCGCGTCGCTGCGCTCGCTCGTGCGGTGTCCGCCGCGTGGTCTCTGTCATCCTCGCCCTCGTCGCTCGTCGCCGCCATCGTCGTGTGTTCATGTAGATGGATCTCTCGTGGCCTTCGGCCCATCCCGCCACCGCGCCTGGGTCTCGGGTCTGAGGCCTCCTGGAGGGCGGGTTCCGAGACAGGGGTGTACCGGAACGCTGTTCTGGCGATGTAGTGGGCCGTTTTCATTTCGGTGTCGTTTTGCAGCAGAGGCGGACTGAAGACAAAACGAGGGATCACGAACGACACATACCGAAAACGAAAAACACTGTATATGTCGAGTCCTGTTCCCAGATGTCTAGACTCTTTCCCCATCCTAACTTCGGATCCGCCGCACCTTGGGCGATTTCATGATTAGGGCGGACATGCCCGCCTTACGCTGTTCAAGCTCCTCTGAGGTCGATTTCCGCCCTGCTTTGCCGCCGCTGCTTCCACAGTACGTTCGCGAGCACATCCGCCCTATTTTGTCTCAGGCGGAAATATCCGCCCTACTTTTCGCATCGTTTGGAGTGCACTTGCGACACACACTGAAGTCTGAACCTCAGCCAAAGTCAGAAGCCGGGCGAAGACTGGCAAACCCGTGGCTGCTAAAACGGAGTTCCGTTTTTTTTTCGTCTTCCGGGAAGCAGCTTGTTTACGATGTAGTGCGCTGAGTTGTTTTCGGTCATTTTTCCCTACCTAGGCTCTGCCTAGAAGGGTTCTTACCCTGTATGCTTAAAGGGCTGGGCAATGGAAACCGCCCCGGGCGGTTCCCCCGGCATCCGCCCCGCGGTTCCCCCAGTTACGTCCCCTTAGCTTGGCATTGCTTATCTCATCTTAGTTTAGTTTTTTTCATCTTAGCTTAGCTTAGCTTCATCTTAGCTCAGGTTTATCTTAGCTTAGCTTACCTTCATCTTAGCTTCGCTGAGCTTTAGCCTTAGCATAGCAGAGCACAGCATAGCATAATCAGCATAGCGTAGCATAGCAGAGCGCAGCACATCATATCATAGCATAGCCCAGCATAGCATAGCATAGCGCAGCATAGCATAGCATAGCATAGCGCAGCACAGCACAGCACAGCATAGCACAGCGCAGCATGGCATAGCATAGCATAGCAGAGCAGATCATAGCACATAATAGCATAGCACAGCGCAGCAACGCTTAGCTTAGCTTAGCTTAGCTTAGCATAGCGCGGCGCTGCATTAGCATATCATATCATCGCATAACATAGCCAAGCATATCATAACATAGCATAGCGCAGCATATCATATCAGATCATATTATATCATATCATAGCATAGCATAACGCAGCTTATCATAGCATAGTCTATCATAGCACAGCTTAGCATGGCACAGCGCAGCATGACATGTCATAGCTTAGCATATCATAGCATAGCATAGCATCGCATGGCGAGCATAGCATATCATAGCATAACATAGCGCATCATCGCATGGCATAGCACAGCATAGCATAGCATAGCATAGCATAGCATAGCATAGCATAGCATAGCATAGCAACTAATGCTGCTTTTCTAGGGGCTCCAACTTCTAGGTAGGGTCGCACTGGGGTATTTTTTTCTTCCGGGGAGACCGTTTTAGCATCCACGGATTTGCCAGCCCTCGCCCAGCTTCCGACAAAGCGCGGCTGATGGGCTTGTTTTCCACCACCACCACCACCATAAGGAGGAGGAGGAGGAGGAGGGGAAGGAGGAGGAGGAGGAGGAGGAGGAGGAGGAGGAGGAGGAGGAGGAGGAGGCACTGGCAGCACCGACATTGGAGCGAATGCCACGAGCGAGCGAGCGAGCGAGCGAGGAGGAGGAGGAGGAGGATCCCTCGGGCGCTTCCTCGGGACAGGTTCGCAGGCCTACACGTTGTGCGTTTCTAATTCTTCGAGAGTTCTTTGATGTTTGGGGGGCCAAGATCCTCTCATTCCTAATTGTTATATCCTGGGCCTCTTCCTGGCCACTATAGGAGAACAGGAACACGTAGAAACGAGCACACTTAGAAATGAGCACGATTAGAAATGAACGACGTGTAGAGGTTGGCACCAACACCAACATCGACGGTGTGCCTCCACCGAGGGAAGAGGATCCCGATCTCTCGGGGACGTTGGTAATTCATATTCTGGCTTCCAAGGTGACCGATCTATTACCACCAACACCGAAACTCTAGGATCATCTTCCCCCTCTGGAGGCACCCCCCTCTGTTGGTGTTGCTGCTCATTTCCAGGCCTCCAAGTCGGCCCCCCCCCCGCTCCCACCGTCGTCACGCGCTGCGTCTCGAGCGACGGCGTTTTTCCACGCGCCCCCCCCCGCCCGGGGGGCCCGCGCGCCGCGCGCGACCCAGACCACCGACGTCGCGAAAGGCTGTGCGCGCAGCGGGGCTTATCCTGGAGGTCTGGACCTGTTCCCCAGGACTGGTCGGCCACATGCAGAGGGGGGGTATGGGGGAGTGGGGGAAGGCTTCTGAGAAGCACCCTTGCATCTAAGAGCACCCATGCTTCTCAGATGTAGGGCCGGCGCCTTCTAAGAAGCAGCCTCCTCCTGAGATGCCTTCCCCCCTCCCCCTGGGTACCCCCTTGAGCGCGCCGCCAAAGTGGCTCCTTATTTCGAGCCGGTCTCTTATCTATGATCCCGGGGCTCGCTATGAGCCAAAGGCGGCTGCAAGTGGCTGAACATCGAGGGAATGAATACGATGG